TCTGTGTGAGGCCAGATTATCTTAATACATTTCAACCAAATTAAGCCAGACATTAACAATATTGTGAAAACAGAAGAAATACCACTCATCTCACTAAATTTCTTTCGTTTTCAGAAAATACAGTTATTTTATATTAAAATGTTATTTGTGTTAACATGTAACACATTTATTATGACATAATATTTAAATGAATATGTATTCATTTTAAATATTCATTTATTCATTTAAAATAAATATTCAAATGAATATTTGTTCATTTAAGTATTTAAAATGTTTTTCAGCATTAACTTGTCATGTCGTAATATCAACAGCTATAACCCACATGAAAATTTTTGGGGGGATCTTCAGCAAATTCTCAAGAAGTTTGAGAACCAAAGTTCTAAATAAATCTCCACTAGTCACTTAATACACAAAATTGCAGGGAGTTGTAGGTGCAATGGTTGAAACCAAGATGGGTTGAGTTACACATGGTAAATTTGGAATAGAGAGGAATCAAGAACCACCATCTCCTGCTAGAGTGAGCTCCATAACTCAAGTTCATTTGTTTGTTAGTTTGTTTATTTTTAGTATGCCCTTCAGAGTGCCAATGAGAGAATTTAGAGATGCTCAAGGCATCAAAAGGGGTGGGGGTGGGGAATCACCTTCCTCTCAACATAATTGATGTTATTATTATGAATGTTTTTATCCAGCTATTAACAATGCCAATATTTTACTAATTCATCCTTCAGCTCCTGTCTCCCGCCACCACTGCCACAGGAGGAAAACAGATAATAGTGTGTGAATCTGGCTTTGCTTTTTCAAATTCTATACTTGTCCCTGACATAATCAGCCCTGGGATGTCTTAAAGGACCAAGAACCTGGTACCCGTCAAGTGCTTCTTGATGGGTTTATAGGGAACGGACCTCATAAGCTCAAGTTAGCACCAAGCCATTATTAAATTAATAGCTGCCTGTCTCATAGTGCTTTATCAGTAATGCTGCTCCCGCCCTGGGCCCTCCCACCATTGCCAGTTTATATAACGGGCCAGTGCTATCTCTGTGGCTCAGGGGTGGGTCTGTTCCCGCCCTGGAGAAAAGTGAGTACTGAATAGGGAGTGGAGTTCCTGGTGTGGTTGAAAAGGAGGTAAAATAACTGTAATTTCATAGCAATTACGTACAGCCACCACTGTCAAAGGCTCCAGTTTTCCATTATAAACCTGAGCCTCTGCTGGGAGCGATTTGCAAGGTAGAAATAAGCACACAATTAGCCCTTAATGTATGAAAGAAGGCATCGCTGCCCCCCCAACAAAACAAATCTCAAGGGGGAAAATAATATGTTGAGCTCAGGGAAAGAATTTTTTTTCCTCCTTTCCTTTAAGAAAAAAAATCTCAGTAAACCCCCACTCCTGAATATTGGTTAGATTCTTTGAAGCTTTACAAGTAAGCCTGGGGGGTCTTCATTCCCTGTGCTCTCCCTAGCAGGCCACCTGCTGGGGCCATGGTTTCCAAGAGAGCCAACATCAGAGATCAGAGCAAGTGGGTTATTTCTGCCTCTAAGTCCACATTGGAGGCCAATAAACCGCTAACTGGAAATAATGTGTACAGAGACTGGTTAGCCAACCTTTTTTTGCTTGTTCATGTGTTTGCTTGAAATTCATTCTTCATGAAATTCATGGATCTACAGCCTCACTCAGAGGCACAGCGAGGATAGATTTGTCTTTCAGTCTTAAAAAAAGCCTGTGAGTTTGAGGAATAACGAACTGAGGGAAGTGTGCAAGCACTCAGTAATGCTGCTGTTCTATGGGTTCTTGGATCCCCTGGCCCACGCTACAGAAACTCATAAGCTCCTTGAGGAAATGCATTTTTAAATCTCCTGGATAATTTTCTCCAGCGCCTTGCACATAATTGATAGTCAATATGCATTGATTGTGTAAAAGGACAATTTAACAAATGAATGGTTTATTGACACTGAAAGCCAAGTACCAGTCAGACCTCAGTGGCATAATGATTAACGTCCTGAGCCTTCTTACTAACCTAGACACAGGGAGCTGGGACCAAAATCTGAGATATCTGCCCCAGTGACATCATTACAGAGCAAGGACCAAGGGATGGAAGAGGATAAACGATAGAAGAACATATTTTGGCTGAGTGTAGCCAAAGGAAAGCATTTCTAATTGTTAGAGAAATTCTCAGAATGGATTGCTTTGAGAGATTTAAAGTACTGCTCAGTGGAGGTATTCAGACACCCCCAACTTCACTTGGGGGTGTAGAAGTTGGTGTCCCAGTATCATTTGTGTTAGACTACGTGATGTTGGAGGTCTCTTCTTACCCTTAGATGTCAGGGCTCAACGATTTCATAAAATTGTGATGCTACATAAGTTCAGTTCAGCAAGTATTTATTGAACCCATACACAGGTGCCATGCATGGCCTTGCGTTGACATTAGAAAGACAGAGATGAATAATATAGGGCTCCTGCTCTTTCAAGTTGGCTGGGACACAGTTGTAGTAAATTCTCAGACTGGGGCTTGGGTGTCCTAATCCCATTTTCCTTCTCGCTAGTGCCCACATGCTGACTCAAGACTCCTCTTCTTTCTAGGCTGGAACCGATGGGGAAAGCATTGGCAACTGTCCTTTCTCTCAGCGTCTCTTCATGATTCTTTGGCTGAAAGGAGTTGTGTTCAATGTCACCACTGTGGATCTGAAAAGGTAAACGACATTGTATGAATGAGGACTATGTTCAGCTGCGGGAATAGGGTATCCTTCGTGAAGAAGGGCAGAAGCCTTCCATAGCTGCCCCTAGCTCTGCTCACACCTCCTCGTGCAGAGCTGTGTCTCAGGGCCCATCCCTACTTACAAGAAAGGCTGCAAAAGTGAGTATCTCATGTGAGGTCCAGCCCTTCCCTGCCCTGATCAACTCCTCAGAAGGGAGGAGTGGCATTGGCTATACAGCTAAGAGCCTCTGGTTCAGAGGTGGGCACAGATATCTACAAACACAGACATTAGTCATTTCAGTAGCACTAGTGCCATGATCTGTGGGACTCCTGCCAAGACTTCAGGCATGACAGCCTGAGTCTTCAAGGAGCTGAGTTATAGACCACTGCCCATGCTATGTATCCATTTTTGGAAGTCCTTAACAGGAGAGTTCTGGATTATAGCCTGGGTGGAGAGTTACTATTGTTCAATTTTTAAAGCACAATTTAATAGATGTTAATAACACCAAGCATCATTCAATATTGGGAGCCACGTTCTCTCACTCCTACCGAATGCATTGCTTCCTCCCTCTGCCTGTCCTTTAAATGTGGACTAGCTCAACTCTCACCCTGGAGCATTAATTGTCCGACTCTACCTTCTTTTCTGGTGAGCTTGGTGTATACTTTGTGTCATCTTTATGTGAATTATTCTATTCCCAGAGCGATGCTATCACCTAGATAGTTACACTCAGATGTTCTCTTATCAATTTAAAATCAATATGTCTAAAATTTCATCCACCATTTTTCTTTTGAGTTGCACAATCCTCATAAATTCCTTTGCTCTTCCATTTTCCAGGCACTGAAACGCATCCAGCTCCTTTCTCTTGCCACCTGCCTTGTTGATCAGGAGCAGGTCCTGAGCGTTCTCCCACTGTACTAGCTCTTCCTCCAAACCCTCTCACTCTTAAAGCCCATACTTGGTTCAGGTCTTACCACTTCACCCTGTTTCTCTGTTCTTCAACCTGGTCCTACCAGGATCTCTCTCGCTCTTTCCTCCATCCATCCTTTATTTTATCCTAAAGTTAGTCTTCCTTAAAACAGCATTTTAATCAAGCAACTCCCCTGCTCATAAAATCTTCAATGCTTTCATTATCCATGATTGTTCATGAATGGGGTAACTGTATCTGAAGCTCTCTTTGTCTTTTCCCCCGTTCTTCCCAATACATCTCACTGTGGCCTGGCCCCTCTGTCCAGCTGAGCTGCCTTCTGCTGCCCCTGTCCTTTGCAGCCTCCAGCCCTTGGCTAGGATGTGTCCTCTATCTAATACCACCCTCTTGTCCCTGCAGATGGCACCAGCCCCTAGGCTCTGCCTCCATCCCCTTTCCCTGTGAGGCCTCCCACCTTTCTCAGGAACTTAACTACCAAGCCAGCTTCCCTCCAATCTCAAAGCACCTAAGTTGCCTTTTGTCATTACACAGCATCTCACCAAGTTACCTACAGTCCTAACGCTTTACAACTGGTGAGTGCTTTATAAAAATCACATAATGCACAATCCTGTGAAGGAACTCTTCTCCACGTTATATGAAGAAGTGGAGACAGATGCCCTTAAATGACGCCCAAGGTGCCCAGCTGGAAATCAGAGAGGCTGCTCCTAAAAGCTCACTCTCCTCAGTTCAAATACTATACTCTTCAAAAAGCATCAGCTATGAAGTTTGTTTTGTCTTCCAAATGAAGCCTTGACTCCCTGGAGGACAGGCTGGGATCAGCTTTCAGTTTCTTTGTGTTTTCCATAGCAACTAGCTTGTTATGGGCCCTCAACTATTATCTGTCAAATGAATGGAGAGTATCCACCATGCAGGCAGTGTCTGTGATAATTAAAGAGAGCAGGAGACTCCATACAGTTTGAAGGAACAGCGTCCTTCAGTGGAGAATCGAAGGTCTTTGGATCATCACTTGTGAGTTGACTTGTGCGTTAGCAGGAGGTCAGGATGGGAAAGGGGGCCACACCAGCATTCTCCTGATGCTCAGCTCCTTCCTTTCTCCTTCAGGTCCTGCCAACAACTCTGAGGTGAGCAGGCGTGTGTCACCAGTCCAGGTGTATAGATAAGGAAACTTTCTTACTGTGTGCATGTGTGAATGTCTAAGAAAACCGATTTCTTATCCTGGCACCAAGGTTTGACCAAGTAACCCTGAACTTTACAGACCCTCAGTTTTCTTATCTGTACTGGCGACGGTGCTGTCTTACTGAATAGGATCACTGTGAGGATGTGGTGCGGCACGGAAAGCATTTGTGTGCAGTGTGCACCTCACTCACTGTTAGAACCCCCTACACACCGGCTGCTCTTAGCATGAGCCTTGCCATCATGGAGCTGGTGATCCAGTCAGGTAAAGAAGACTGGTACACATTGAATAATCCGTAAATCAGACCTGGCCATGTGTAATCCAATGCTGATGAGAGTTTTCACTACACAGGCTGAAGGAGGGCTAGGAAAGAGCCAGAGCTGCAACGGGCCATGTCCAACTGGGCTTCAGTGGCTGTGGGTAGAACTTTCCAGAGGCGTCAGACTCCAGTGGCTATGTTTCTTTAGAGTCCTAGGAAAAGAAAAAAAAAAACACCACCACCACCACCACCATACATCTCTGTAGCCACAGAGAGGTGATTGCTGAAAACTAAAATCAGCATAGATTTCTCCTTGCAGTGGAGAACCCAAGCCTTGCTGCCTTGAGTCAGCTCTAGAAGCCAGGAAGAACAAGGAAGGAATGTCCTTTCATTGTCTAAGATGAGGGACACACACAAAGTAAACAAAGGGACGGAGTAAATTAGATTTTAAAAATTCTTTCCGTCTCAGTTGTCTGAGTTCCAAGCGCCACAGAATGCAGTTGGAGAGTGTGTGCTGGGCCAGGGACAAGGGAGTAGCACAGTAATTGAAATTGTTCTCCTCCCCTCCCATACTGATTACGCCAGGAATTTGTTTCATTACAGACGCCTCTACCCCCGTCTGTTTACTTTTTTGCAGTTCCTTCATCTAATGCGTTCCACTCCCGATTCCCACAAGAGAGAGCATTTGGGGTGAATGCGATGTCGCAGCTCTGCCTGTGGCAGTCTCCGTCATTGTTCCCCCATCCTGACTCTTTTCTCATGCAGCCCTCTCCCTCCCCACTTTCCCTCAGCCTTCCTCCCCTCATTTTGCTCCATTCTTGCTCTTGCATTCTGACCAGCTGGCAGAGTCACAGAAGCATGTCCTGTCCCTGGGCATAAACAGGGCCCGTGTCAAACACAAGGTCACTTTCCTTCCTGCCGCACTGGCAGGAAGTCCCCCCCTCCCCCATGGCCTGTAGGGTGGTCCACACTCCCCAGTGCACACTGGGAACACCTCTTACCATTGCCATGAGCTAAATACAGAACCGCTCCATTCATTGTTCAGTTCTTCGTTCAGTCAGAACTGTGTTCTGGGATTTCAGTCTCTCCTCCGTCTTCTAGACCTTCTTTTCTGGATAATTTAGGACTTTGGTATCTCCTCTTTCTTTCTCAGAGGGAAAAAAAATGCACTTGTGCTTTAGTTGTCTTAGATTTTTTTAAGTGTCTGACCCAGAATCCAACAGGCATAGTAAGAGACCTTCTGTTTTGAAGGGACTGAATTTGCCATCTATAATACATAAACTTTCTGTCAAAGAGTCTATTGGTTCAGCAAAGCTTTCTATGAAAAGAAATAACTTTCATAAAGCAAGTGTGGTATTTGAGTCCCATTAGAAAATAGAAGATATGTTTACACAGAAAACGGATTGTTTATAACTTAACCTCATAATTTTTTAAGTTTATAAGTAACCTCATAATTTTTATAAGACACCTCATAACAGTATCTGACTCCTAGGAGATTTTTAATGTATACCGTGTTTCCCTGAAAATAAGACCTACCCAAAAAATAAGCCTTAGCAGGATTTCTATGCATTTGTTAAATATAAGCCCTACCCCATAATAAGACCTAGTGATGGGGATAGCCATGCCATGCATTTCCACATGGACAGTAAGACATCCCCTGAAAATAAGCCCTCGTGTGTCTTCTTGAGAAAAAGTAAATATAAGACAGTGTCTTATTTGGGGGGAAACATGGTATATGTTGAGCAGAACTTAAAAAAAATTTTTTTAAAAAGAGCTTCTTTCTAGCAAAACTGGAACCATAATAGTCACACTTTGAGAAGAAGAGTGTGTGCTTGAATTAAATTACAAAGCAGAATGCTATAAAAGGTAGACAGTGGAGCAGTATAGTTGCCAACTGGTTCTCCTTACATTCAGTTGAAAGCTGAAGGTTTTCATAACTGGGTTGAAGTTTTTTATCGACTTCACACCAACTTTTGATAATTTCATAGCTAAAATCACTCGTTTTTTACTTTTCATTTTTTTAATGTTTGTATTATTAGGGATTCATTGACCATACAAAGAACCAGGTTACATTGATTGCATTTGTTAGGTAAAGTCTGTCTTATAATTGTTTCCCACCCCTAAAAGGTGTGTCACACACCATGACCCCTCACCCTCTTCCCTCCTTCTCGCTTTCTGTTCTTCCCCTACTCCACCCCCACCGTGTACTAGGTCATTAATTGTCCTCATATCAGAATTGAGTACATAGGATTCTTACTTCTCCATTCTTGTGATGCTTTACTTCATTTTTATTTTTTATTTATTTATTTTTTTCTTGAGACAGAGTCTCGCTTTGTCACCCTTGCTAGAGCGCCGTGGCCTCATAGCTCACAGCAAACTCAAACTCCTGGGCTTAAGCGATCCTCTTGCCTCAGCCTCCCAGGTAATGGGACTACAGGCACCTGCCACAATGCCTGGCTACTTTTAGAGACAAGATCTCACTCTTGCTCAGGCTGGTCTCCAACCTGTGATCTCAGGCAATCTACCTGTCTTGGCCTCCCAGATTGCTGGGATTACAGGAGTGAACCACCTCGCCTGGTCTTTTGTTTTTTAAATTAAAAATGTATGTAAGTTTTATTCTTGTGTCCATTAAAAACACATATCTACAGAGGAACTCCTGTAAGCCAGGGACAGTTCCGGGTCCTTTCCTCCTGGATCTTTCTCTCAGATACCTTCTTACCCAGCAATCATAGGTTTTTTGCGCAGAGTCCTTGGTTATAGTCTGTCTCATGTTTCTTGAGCACTAATATTAAAATACTTGGGTCTGTCAGACATAAATCCATGAGTTTTCATAGGGATCTGTAAAGTGTCAAGTTAGAAACAGCAATAAAAACACTCTTGAGAATGTTGTCTTCATTTAACAATTTTGTCTATCGTTCGCTTATTTTCATGGGTACCCAAAGGCTGTTATCAGGGGCTGTCTATAGATCAAAAAAGTGTCTGGCTGAGTCTGGCAAAAGACTGGCCAATGTTACAATAAGTTATCAGGTATTAAAATTCACGTTATAAAGAATAGGAGTGCTCTCACTTGAACAAATAGCCCAAACTCCCATTATATGTTCGTTTATTTGTTTATTGTATTTGAAGATATCTCTTAGGATAAAAGTGTGAGCTACTTCATTAATTTTTAAAGTTTGGAATTATGTAGCGTGCATTTTTATAGGTGGGTTAGGGAAGGAATTTTTCAAAACAAAGCCCGGCTCTCTCTGGGTAGTTCAGCGTCAGCGCTGACTTGGACCTGGATAGTCACCTGGATTCCTCCCACCTTTTCGCTGGTACTCACCTCCTGCATCTTGACTTGCTCCTTGTCACAGAGTGCACGGATGCCATTTCCTGAGTCACACTTTGTTCTTTCAGAACTCTCTCCAACCTCCTCTGCCCTCCACCCCACACCATAAGTCTGATTTTGCTGTTGGGCATGTTGGATCGCACAGGGCGTCTAATTGACCGTCAATCTTAGGTTTCCCAGAGCAGGAGGCACCCTGGTGTAAGCCAACCCCTGGATCTTGCTCTCTTTTCAGAAAGCCAGCCGACCTGCACAACCTAGCCCCCGGCACGCATCCGCCCTTCCTGACCTTCAATGGGGACGTGAAGACAGATGTCAATAAGATCGAGGAGTTTCTGGAGGAGACCTTGACCCCGGAAAAGTAAGGAACAGCTTCTTTCTGGA